AATGCTCACAATCATTAGTCATGAGAGAAATGCAGATCAAAACTACAATGAGATATCATCTCACCCCAACAAGGCTAGCATTAATCCAAAAAACACAAAACAATAAATGCTGGAGAGGTTGTGGAGAGTCTGGAACACTTACACACTGTTGGGAATGTAAAATGGTACAAACACTTTGGAAATCAATTCGGCACTTCCTTAAAAAGCTAGAAATAGAAGTACCATACGATCCAGCTATCCCGCTCCTTGGAATATATCTTAGAGAAATAAGAGCCATCACATGAATAGATATATGCACACCCATGTTCACTGCAGCACTGTTCACAATAGCAAAAAAATGGAAACAACCTAGGTGTCCATCAGTGGACGAATGGATAAACAAATTATGGTATATCCACACAATGGAATACTACTCAACGATAAAAGAATAACAATGAAGCCGTGAAACAAAACATGGACGAAGCTGGAGAGCATTATGCTGACTGAATTTAGTCAGTCACAGAAGGACAAATATTGTATAAGACCACTATTATAGAACTCAAAAGGTTTACACACAGAAGAAAACATTCTTTGATGGTTACAAGGGTGGGGAGAGAGGGGCAAGGTTATTTACTAACTAGATAGTAGATAAGAATTATCTTAGGTGAAGGGAAGGACAACATACAGTACAAGAGAAGTCAGCGCAACTGGACTAAACCAAACCTAAGAAGTCTCTTGAATACAACCAAACACTTCGAGAGAGTGAGTAGCAGGGGCAGGGGTCTGGGGACCATACTTTCAGGGGACATCTAGGTCAACTGGCATAACAAAGTTTATTAGGAAAATGTTATGCATCCTACTTTGGTGAGGGGCGTCTGGGGTCTTAAAAGCTTATAAGCAGCCATATAAGATGCATCAACTGGTCCCAACCACCTGGAGTAAAGGAGAATGAAGAACACCAGACAGAAGGAAACTATTTGCCCAAGAGACAGAAAGGGCCACATAAACCAGAGACTCCATCAGCCTGAGACCAAAAGAACTAGATGGTGCCCGGCTACCACCAATGACCGCCCTGACAGGGAACACAACAGAGAGTCCCTGACGGAGCAGGAGAAAGGTGGGGTGCAGAACTCAAATTCTAGTAAAAAGACTAGACTTAATGGTCTGACTGAGACTGGAGGAAGCCCGGAAAGCATGGCCCCTGGATTCTCTATCAGCCCAGAAATACAACAATTTCCGAGGCCAACTCTTCAGACAGGGATTGGACTGGACTCGTGAGAAGTGTGCCTCTTAGCTCAAGTAGATACAAGAGACTAAACACATAGCTTCTGTCCGGAGGTGAGATGGGAAGGCAGAGAGAGAGGGTTAGGAGCTAGCTGAATGGACATAGGGAGTCAGGGGTGAAAAGGAAGAGTGTGCTGTCACAGTATGGGGAGAGCAATTAGGGTCACATAACAATGTATGCATAAATTTTTGTATGGAAGACTAACTTGAAATGTAAACTTCATCTAAACTACAACAATAAAAATAAAAAAGTTCTTTAGACATCTAGACAAAAACAGCAGGTGGCATATAAGGGAAAGAAAATTAGATGATCACCAGTCGATTTTGTTCAATATAAAATCTTTAGCTCACACCATCTTTCCATGGGTCTGGAAATACCAATTTCCAAGAAATACAAAGGACAGAGGAGCATGTTGAATTGTACCATGAATGCGCTATCATCAACATCTTGTCAATAGATCAATTTCAAAAAAAAGGTATGGAAGATGAACATGTAGTTAAGAAACTTAAAAGATAGATGAAATTTTAAGAAACAGACAAGACTAAACGGCAGCATTTAGATATATACAGTTGGTAACTAAAAAAAAAATGCAAGGAAAGGATTACTGTGAAAGTTGGGATATCAAATCTCTTTCTCTAATCTAGACCAATACTGCCCAGTAGAACTTCTGGGATGGTAAAAATGTTCTTTATGCTGTCAAGTACAGTAGCCACTAGTCACAGGTGGCTACTGAGCACACTGAAATGTGGCTAGTGCAACTGAGGAACCAAAGTTTTATTTAAACAGCCATAGGTGGCTTGTGGCCACCGTATTGGATAGCACAGATCTAGACCTCTCCTCTAAATTTCAGACGATATATACTAGACATCTCCACTTAAAAGTCCCAAAGGTTCCTTCATCTCAAAACATCCTAAAACTTAATCCACCACCTTCTTCCTGAAAACTCCTCCTCCTGTGGTCCCCTTCTTAGTGAATAACAGCCTTCATCAACCTGGGCATCCCCTGGACTCTGTAATCAGGTTCCAATTCAATCAATCAAGAGGTTCTACTAATACCGCCTAAATATCTTACATCTGCCCACATCTTACCAGTCCCACTTCCATATCCTTCTTTAGGGCACCATCATCACGTTCACTGGACTATCCTAACAACCTCCTAATAGCTCTTCCTGCCTCCAGTATTGTATCTTACACAATTCATTCTCCACACTTAAGCCTGGCAGTCTTTCCAATGTGTCTATCCTTTAATGCACATTCCCCATCTCCAAATCCCTTATCCGCTGATACCTTTTACACCTACTTCAGAGAAAACAAAAGCCATCTTATCAATCACCCAACCTTGTAAATTCCATAGCCAAAAACACTTTCAATTCTGTCCACTTCTATTTTCCCTGCCACCATTTCAGTCACACCACACTCACTTCTTGCCTAGACCTCCACAATAGCTTTCTTACTAGCTTTTCTATCTCCAATCTTGCTCCCCTTGGATCAATTCTCCTCACTCTAAGAAAAATAATTGTAAAATAGTAATTCTCAAATTTTACTGTGCATAGCATCAACCTGGGATCTTGTTAAAATATAAATGTTTAAGTCTCAGTAGTTGCTCCCCCACGCCCGCCCCCCCAGTTTTATTTCAGTGGGGTCCGGATTTTCTAACGCAGGTTTTGCCTGGATCTGACAAACACTGCTCTAAGATTTAAGTCTAATCATATTATACTCTTGTTTACAAACTTTTTATAGTTTTTCACCTCCTCAGAATAAAATCTAAATACTTTTTAACCTGGCTTACACGTACTTTAAGATTTGCCTCAGTCTCACTCTTACAATCTCCCTTCCTTGCCCTCTTACCTTCCAGTCATACTAAACATTTCATATCCTCCAACTCCCCATGTAGTCTATCCCTTTTAGACCTCCTTACCACACAGTGTTCCCTCTGCTTAGAAAACGCTCTGCCTGGCTAATTCCTACTCATCCTCAGTTCTCTGTTTAAACATCCCATCCTCTAAGTGTTTCCAAACACCCTAAACCAAGCTGCCCTTGCTATGTGCTCCCAAAACACCCTATACTTCCAGTATTATGGTACTTACCAATACTATTGTAATTTTTTTTTTCCAAACCATTTTTTTTTAAGTTGTCATAAATATATATATATATAACGTTTGCCATTCCAACATTTTTTACGTGTACAATTTAGTCACATTAACTACACCCATCATGTTGTGCAAACATCACTACTATCCGTTTCCAAAATTTTCCATCACCCTTAACATAAGCTCAGTGCTCCCTAAGCAATGACTCCCTCTTTCCCCCTCCCTCCCACCCTGGGATTACTTTGTTTTCCTCCTCTGACCTAGAATGTAAACTCCATGAGAGCAGAACCACATCTGACTTTTATCTGGCACTGAACAGGTACTTATTAAAGAGAAAACAAGTAAGAGCCTTTACCACGTAGCCCCTACTCACCAATTCACCTTTATTTCTGGAACTCATTTTGTCACAATGCTCCAGCCATACCAAACTACTTTCAGTTTCCAAATGCTCGTCTTCTCTCCTACCTTTGGGCTTTCTCACCTGTTATTCTCTCTGCCTGGAACATCTTTTGCAGAGCTAACTCCAACTTATTCTTCAGGTCTTAGTCTTTCCTGACTGCCTAAGATAGATTCAGTACCTGATCATAACACCCTACTTAACCCTATCCCAGCAGTTGTCACCAAGTACTAGGATTGCCTAGTACTGAATATTTGCCTGACTTCCCTACTAAGTCAGAAACAGGGCTTCAAACCAGTTCATTCCATGGTCTGACCCCTGTTGAGAACTTGCATTTCCATCCCAGACATACTGAAATCAGAATCTACATTTTAACAAGATCCCCAAGTATAAATAACAAATCTTTATTTATACATAAGAATCACCTGGGGGTCTTGTTAAACTGTAGGTTCTGATTCAGTACATCTAAGACGGAAATGCAAGTTCTCAGCAGGTGGTCGAATTGGACCGAACTGCTTCAAAGGCCTGGTAAGAAAATCCCTAAAAACAGACATTTTGTTAGTGTTCACTATTGCACCTCCAGGGCTTGACAAAAAGTCTAAGAGGGACTAACAGTTCTATAAAATTTATCAGAGAATCTTTGATCCAAGATACAATTCTCCGTGTACATAACCTATGACCAAAATCTGACACTTAGGAATTTACTCAAGAATCGCAGAAAACAGTCACTCTAATGGCATCCCTAGTAGTTTATCCAATCAAAACAGGCAAGCTCACAAAAGCCTGCTTTAAAGAAACTGACTTTCATCTAGATAGCAAAAACCCTATCTATAAACTGAGATGCTTTGGGCAAACGACTGAGCCCTCCTGCCCTTTCTAGGCCTTTACATAAACTTGAAAAAAACATCCAACTGGCCGGCTTTTCTACCTAGGCAGCATGAAATAAACGATCTAACATCTCGTAAAGGGCATCAGGATGTTCTCACTCTCTTACTCAGGACCTTAGTTTCTTTAAATAGGCAGAAAAGCCAACTACTAACAGGGTAACAAATGTGGCTTGAAAGGCTAGCTCCAAGTTTCCCCCATTCTAACCAAACAAGACCTTTTCTAACAGTTTTCCAGAAGCACAAATGAAAAATGCACAAGAGGAGCAACAGGTAGATCATGATACTTTTGCACCCCAGATGTATGTATGTTTATAAAATACCTTTTCCCACCTACATCATAGGAAAAAAACGTATTACACTCACTTCTGAGTCTTCCGCACTTTCATAATCTGAGAGAACAGCTGAAGGAAAAGAGAAATATGTGAAGAAAAAAATGCAACAAAATTATTATAATTACATTTCTTGACTGCTTGTTGTGTGTCAGGCTAAAACTCATTTAATTCTGACATCAACCTTTGAGGTAGATAAAATTTTACAGATGAGGGAACAGGCTCAGAAAGATTAACTTTTGCAAGGCAATACTGCTTGAACCTATGCTCTTAACCACTACACTACAAAAGAGCCACTCTGAAGCACCCTGCACCAAATCCCTAACAGTCTGAGAGGATGTCAGTTGTTGGAAACAGGTGAACTGAGTTTATGCGCTAAAAACTCTTCTCATAGGGTAAAAGATGCTACTCACCATCACCCTCGATGCCATCTTCACTCTCCTGAGATAAAGAAGATATGAGTTAGTTCTGGATTCTCAGAGAGTAGGAACTGCAATAAAGAAACATGGGTGGGAAGTTGACGACTCGAAACAAAATGGTTGAAGAGAGAGATGGGGAAAAGCGCATTTTTAACAAGCAGTATCCGAGGGAGGTCTGTTCTTTTCACCTCCAGCCCCAATGTGTGAATCAACATCCGCTTTCCATCCGTCGCGTCTTTACCCTCTTCCCAGAAACCCTCAGCCTCTCCCCTTCCCTTGGGCCCCGCAGCAAACCTGAAACGGGATAACGCGCCTCTTTAACACAACATGCTCCAGCATCTGCCATCAACTCTCAGCCTCCGCCCGCCCCCAGCCCAGGCCGCCCGGCCCCCGGCCCGCCCCGCCGACGCGTACTCACACACTCCGACTCCTCGGCACTCTTGGCCCCCCCGCTCTCCACCCGCCGCAGATGGAGGGCCCCAGCTCGGCCTCCGCGCTGCGAAGAAAGAGAGCCGCTGCCTCCGCCTTCAGCGCTACCGCTGCAGCTCCCGCCGCCCCGCGCCAGGGAGCCGCCACTATCTGAGCCCGAAGCGCCAGACTCCTCGTCTTCAGTGTCCTGCGAAGCGCGCTGCCGACGCCGGTCCGCCATCTTACGGAGAACCGCCGCCACCGGCCAGCTCTTTACGCACCGCGCCCGTCGCAGAGGCAGCTGGGAGGCTCGAGATGAAGTCCCGGCATGCTTCACGGGCGACGTTTGCTGCTTCGCTTTTCAGTGGGCGGGGCTGGGGGCAGTGCCGGCTCCCTGCGGCACGTTTGCGGGCGAGTGGACTTGGCATATATTGATGGCGTGCGGGGGGCGTGGCGCGGTCCCCTATTTCTCTGGGCAAGCTCCGGGCGAGGGGAGCTGGACGCGTGCAGCCTCCCCGGTTCCTCGCCCGGCCATCTTGGGCTTTCCGAATGGAAGGCGTCAACCTGTCACAGCCTCACGGCTGCGTTGGGGCGATTTTCATGGTTTTCCGTTTCTCTCGTTTCTACCTACATTTGAGGCAGACCAGTTTACTGCATCCATTTGCTTGGCGAAATCACAAATCAAGGTAAACCTCTAAAGCAGTTGTGCTGCGTCAGATTTGCCACACCAGCCCATTTTAAGCTAAGGGACTGTCAGCAGTGAAACTGGAGAACTTAGACTGCTGCAGCATTTTTCCTCTACCTGTGTCTTCCCACCCCAGGCATCACCTCTCCCAAAATGCAGGATAGTATGATGCCAGGCTTAAGCAAGATTCTACAACCGATTTTAAGAGCATCATTAGAACCGGCATGGGTTTAAAATCCTAGCTGATATGATTTCCTTCTTGTTAAGGGTTACCAGACAGGTAGACGAAGGGAGTGCTTTCATTTTGGCAAGGCATTTGTCAGCAATGGTACTTTTTTTTTTTTTTGACCATTTAAAAAAAAAACAAACGCATTGCCATCGAGTCGATTCCGGCTCATAGCGACCCTATAAGACGAGAGTGGAACTGTTCCATAGGGTTTCCAAGGAGCGGCTGGTGGATTCGAACTGCCGACATTTTGGTTAGTAGCCAATCTCTTAATCACTGTGCTACCAGGGCTCCCCTTTGACCATAAGGACATGCAAATTGTGTGAACCAAGTTATTAGTGTACCTATAGGAGTGCACATTAATATATATCAGAGAAAGGGCACTGTGGCATAGCACAGGATTCTGTCCTGAGTAGTATTTTTACAAATGATGTGAATGAGGATCCTGATGCTAATAAAATATATAGACAAGTTGAAATCAGAAGGCATTATGAATGTCTTCAGATAGAATCAGGATACAAACATCTCAACGGGCTATGCCAGTGGCCAAAAGTAACAGCTTGTAATGTAAATTCAGCTCCAAAAACCACCTGCCTGAGTTCAAAATGCAGGATGTATCATTTGTGTTTTAAAAAAAAAAGACCTAGAGAATGTTATTGATAAATTGCTGTAAATTAGACTGCCAAGCTTAGTGTCTAAATGAGGAAAGTGATAGTCTGCCACTTTGCCCTTCAGTTGTTTGGTCTGGGTCCAATTTTTAAATGCACATGGGCAAAATGTTCACTCACCCAGCAGGAATTGAAAAAAATCAAAATCCTTTGAGAACAATTGCAAAGGTCTATGAATGTTTAGCATGAAGACAGGACTTGGGATAGCAATCTTTAACTATTACAGACTGAGGAAAAGGAGGGATTGGTCTTTTTTCTTTTACTCCTGGGAGGCAAAACAAAAACCAGTTGGTTTGAGGAAGAATCTTCTAACATTTAGAAAACAATGTATAGGAAAAAACAAGGTGTTGAAAGGAGAAACTGGACTTCATTTGTCCGGAATGTTGTCGAGGGGAAATCATATTATCACGAGTTAGACTAGATGACCTCTAAGGTCTCTCCAACTATGATAACTCAGACATAGATACTAAGCATCTTACTAGTCTCCTCTTTTTAGTTTTTAATTATGTGTCAAGAGGAACACAGGACGAAGGGATTAAACACACATTGTTCTCATAACAAATGGAAGTGAATACCTTATGTGAAAGGGAAAATAATGTGTTTTTCTATTTTATTGTGAAAATGGATTTATTTTTCTAATCTTTTAAAACATACAAGCAGAATTGTTTATGCTTACCAATAAATCTAATAAAGTGAAACAAATTCAAAAAATTAACAGCCACAATAGTTTATTTACAATTGAACTCTTTATAAGATATTTACAAGACAACCAATTTTACACATCAGAAATGGTATCAAAAGTATGAATTACAACACAGACAACAATATGAAATGAGCATAAAACAAAGCTGAAGTGGACAGACAAGCAATTTCTCTTTTTAATTTATTAACACTAGCTTAAACTTGGTTAAAGAAAGATAAACAGAGAACTATGTTTTAGGAGAACTGCAGGGCTTTCAGTTGAAGATTGAATTTCACAGTGTTGTATCCCATGTAGGGAAAAGTAAGACTAATTTTCCCCCCACACTGTAACACACTGTAATTTCACTTTTGGAACTTTGCTCATCTACTCTCCAACCTCCTTCTCAACAAACCTCAACATACTTGAATCACAGCAGAATTGATCTAAAAGAGGGGATGATAAAGTAAGAGGTCCTCAGGGAGAGGGAGAACCAAGGAAGTAGAATCCACTTAAGTTTGGCCAGATAGCACCTCATGGATTCCTCTCAGTCTAGCTCAAGTTCAGAATCTGGGGAGTCCCCTGGGTAGGGTATAAACATAAAGATTAAATTTGCTAACCTGTATCCAAACTTAACAATCCAACAAATGCTGAAAATCAAGAAGAAACTGAGAGGGATCAAGAATAAAGTAGAGACACTGATTGGTCGTTTTTTTCTTTTTGGGCACATTATGAAGGAATATAACAGGTCAGAGCAGGAAAGCTAAATAGCTTGCCATATTAAAATGATGGAGAACAAAGAAAATCTGGCCCAATTTTTCAAGAAATCTCCTTCCTCTCCTTAAGGTGTGAGATGAGAGCCCCTAGTGGAGTAAGTCCTATTTCTCTCTACATCCTTGCTGCAATGAAGTTCACAGCAGGTTCCCTTATGGAGAGCCCACTCTCCTAAGCAGATGGAGTTACAGATGAACACAAACACACACAAAAAAGGAGAAATAAGAGCAGCAAGATCATCCAAGACTACATGTGCTGCCGGAATAATTCCTTTAAAAGTCAAACTCAGGGAGCACAGATCAATATCTCACAAAAAGCTTTCGCAGTGGGAGGCCCCTGAGGAACTTTTCTTCTCTTCCCACAATGGTATCCCATTCTCTCTCATGCTCCACTGACGGGCCGGCCACACACCCTACATACCTTGGCTTCTCCTCTAAAAGTGCTAATGGTCTGGGGAAATATTCTCTTCAAGGATAAAAACCCCTACCTTCTAGGAGATTAGACCCCTACTTGTTTCACACAATAGTCCTGAAGACTAATGAAAGGCAATTCCTATATATTTAAGACCAGAGGTCTTGGCTCTATTTTCCTTCCAGATAGTTACAGGGATCTTACACTGAGACCAAAGTGGCCTGGGAGTGCTGTCCTGAATTTTTTTTTTTTTTTTAACAAAACGGGGGAAAAAAAAAAAAAAAGAACCAAGATGGTACATATACAAATGTATTTTTACAAACTGAATGGAGAAGCTCATCAGGTACATCTGTTTGTTTCAAGATGTAGACATTTGCCAGCCAAATGAAGCACAGATTTCCACACCCCCCACCCTCCCTAAACCTCTACCCCATCACCAAGAGCTCAGCTAAAAGAATAAAACCCAACAAGGAATACTTGAGAAGTGATGCAACACGACATCTATACAGGTTCTGGCATGCCACTCCCAAATGCCAACTGCTTTTGTTTAGAGCTGTAACTTGTCCAAAACTAATCATCCTCATTACCTTTCCAAAGATATTTTTCGAGGGGTGGGGAAAGAAATTCAGTTACCCATTAAGTAAGAAAATAATAATAGCTAAATATCTCTCCCCACCTGGCTCCATCACAGAATAGTTTTAAGAGAACATCTGTCTTTTCAGACGTTTATCTACCAACTCTCCAGTCTCCTTTCTACTCTGTGAGGATGACTTGCTTCATCACTTCACTTGTTATTCCTCATCTGGTTCTTAAGCTCATGGTGAGGTTTTCTCGTTTTGTTTTAGGGTAAAAACCACTATGCCCAAACTATAGGGAAAGGTATACCAGGGCGAGAAGAGTGCCATGTAGGCACAGCTTTAAAAGCAGAGATTGCTTCCTCTTCCACAAGTGTAATGAAGAGAGCACTTTGCCATAGGCAAATGTATGGCGGCAGACACCTGACACTTCCAAATCTGCCATCCTATAGATTTAGCTTGAGAGCTCATTCCCCTAAAAAGGGAAAAGAAATCCCAGTCACTCTCCATAATTCACAATTAGCCCAAAGAAAGAGTTTTTGTAAAATCAGAGTCATGAAAACAAACCCAAAATCAAGGGAGTATGGGAAGGTATCAGCAAATGATAACATACATGAGGACACAGGTCACGTATACAGTGGTCTCTGCCACTCTCTGGGAATGGCATGCTACAACTATCTGAAGACAGAGGGCTCTTGCCAGCACAGCTATTTCCTACACGTCCGGTGAGGTGTTTGCTTCTTCTGGATCTCCAACCTGCATCGGCTCCGCTCATCCAACCAGGGCAGCTCAAAATTCCTGGCGAAAAAAGGATGAGGAAATCAGCTTGCAAGACTAAAAGGGATTCAGTGTGGACATGACAGTAACTTCAAAACGATCACTATGCCCCTTACTACTCCTAACCCTGACCCTAGAATCCCGAGTTTGAAGTGACTTTCCTGCCTTAGAGCTTGAGTAACAATGTGCCATTAAAGTGACTGAATAATTTATGTCTAATTCAAAAAGCAATACTCTTAATTCCTAGTTGGGAATCTTATCACTGCAAAAGCTAACTGCCCAGGGTAGCCTCACTTCTGTCAAAGAACCATGGCTGCTACCAAAGATATCCCTAAATCACCTGTTCCACCTTATATCTAGATTTTCATAAAGTCTGAAAGGGAAGTATAGGCTACCTGAGCTGGGAAGGGGAGGGACTTTCTACTTACTGTGGAGTTAATTTTGGTAATGGTCGTCCAAATGCTACAACAGGCAAGAAGGGGGTAATCATCAAACTTTCAACTATGGAAGAAAGTCAAATGGGACCTTGTCAGTGCCATGAATGGAAAATTTCTAGCCACTATATCTGCTCCAAAATACAACTAATTCAGCCATTCAAAGCAAGCTGTATCCTGGAGCCTTGTACCCTTTTTCTTCTTTGAAAACCCCACTCTTACAAAGATAAATGGAACTTACCATCATCTGGCTCAGGGAAAAATGAGGTAACCTCAGGCTCAGATTCCTGAATTCCTTTCTTTTTATACATTCTGAGCTGCAGTCGCTGTAAAATTCTTTGTTCCCTGATCCTCTGAATATCCCATCTGGGAAAAATAAGCCACACAAAACAAAACAAACAAATCCAACATTACTGAAAACCTGATCTATAAAAGCAACTCACACAATGCAGACGCTAGGAAGACCTTGCTGATTCCTCTAGATGGGGTAAAGAGAACTGACTGCCTGGTTAGGGAAGAGCTGGTTAGGTCTAACAGTTCAGATAATGTGTTGGTGTTCCACAGAGAATGGAACTGAGGAAGAGCATATATGAAGAAAAAGAGCCAAACATGTTTACTTACAAGTACCACTTCAAGCTAAGACACTCGACCAATTGGGAAGCCAGTAATTTAAGAGTGTTAAAAGCTTGAGGACTCTTCACAGTGTGGAAGGGCTCACTTGTTCCTGGGATGGACATCTCTGGCCTACCTTTTCCTTCTCTTCTCATCCAGCTCCAGTTTTGCATGCCGCTTCGAAAACACACTGTCATCCAGGTTCTGTATAAAGAACAGCAGATGATAAGCTATTTCATGTCATACATGTGTATACTAACTCATTTCTAGCTTCCAGGTATGTAAAATCTTTCATCTTTAGGTCTCATCTGAGTCTGAGTTCTAAGGACACTATGTGAACCTCCTGGTGACACAATCAACAAAACACATATTCTCTTCTCCATGCCCACCCTTTTAAAATCTCAAAATTTCAAAACCATTTCCATAGCTTTCCAAGGTAAAAGTCATGTCAAACCAAAACAACCCTGGAGGCTGCCTTAAATCCTCCCCCTCCATACTTTGTAAGAGTCTAATTTTAAAATGAATACCAACCTTTTAAGACTCAAACCAGCTTGGAATATATAATTTTGCTGCTGAGTGGTACATGCTAACTTTTCTACTTAGCATGAAATCTACCTCTGTTTTAAATACTATCTACCTATAAATTTTTTAATAAATCACTTAGCCACTCTGGACCTCACTTTTCTCATCTATAAAATGAAGGAGTTGGACTAAATAATTTCTGAAGTTCCTTTCTGGCCTTAAAAGTCTATATAATCCATCCACACAGTTATTATGACATTTCAGGTTACACCCTCCCGTTCTATTTGGTCGCTTACTCTTGTCCACTGACAGCTCTTGGTACCTACCTCCAAAAGGTCTGAAGGATTTGGGTCCCTTAGAGGCTCTACTGAATGGTCCCTCCAAGAAGGAACTGGAGAGAAAAAAACAAAAAAGGGAGGAGGGGTGGAACCACCCTTAAATCCAAGGCCACATAACCCTTCTACTATTCACTAGGAAAGAGGTCTCTCCCACAAAGTTACCAAGTGATAGGAATCCATTCTATGGCCTCACCTGAAGCCATATTCAGTGTTGCTGCTATGGTATAAAAGACCCTAAAATGCCATTACAGTCTGCCAAACTCAGGATTACAAAAACCCCTAAGCCAATACCTGACAATTCTTATAATAGATGCTATTGCAGTTCCTGAAAAACAACTGAAATTTTTTGTCATTTTGAAGTCTATAGTAGTGTAATCATACACCAAGGAACCTCACTCTCCCACATCCAACTGATGAGGAATACATCTCCCAACCATCCACCATCCCACCAACCTCCACCCCAAGCCCAGCCAGCACAACTCCTATTCTACTCACCAGCCAAGACTGAAGTTTCTCCTGCAACACTTGAAGGCATCAGACACCCTAAATAATGCAGGAAAGAAGAATCATCTCAGTGTAAAAAGAAAAAAAGCCCATACCCAAAATGGAGGAAAGGATCATTACTGAAGTTCTCACTAGGAAGCCATTTTGTTTTTGAGTTGTTCTTTTGAGAATTTCTCTTTGGGGGAGGGGAAGAGGGAACAACAGACAAAAGAAAAGAAAATAAGCCCACCACTTTTTTTTTTACACTGAGACGACTTCTTTTCTTCATTATTTAGGGTGGTTTCCCTGCAACAGTTGATGGCCAAGGATATCAAACCTTAAACTCAGAACATGGCAGGTGAGTAAAAGTTGACCCTATTTTTCAAATAAAAGATCAGTGTTCTCAAAACTTACATATGTAGTCTTCGTAAACAGCTCCCTCCTCCCTCCAAACAAACTACCTTGCTGGTCCAGCCTGAACAACATGCACAAAGACTTTGGCTTCCTTAGAACAAGCCATTGAGACTTCCTCTTGAGATAGGGATGTCAAGAATAAGAATTCACACGTTTATTCACAACTCAGGCTTCTCAAAGGGCTGTGATCCCCCCAATAGGACTCCTTTTACTGCTATACACACAATCTCAGAGGTGTTTGGAATTTTCTGTACTAGAGCAGATAAGGTTTTCAAAAACAGCCAGTCACACAGAACAGCTCTGGACCAAGCCATTTCCCAATCCCGGATGGGAAGTTGCTTCACGGTTTCTCTTAAGTTGTTACACAGCATTGCCATGGCAGCAAGAAGGTTAACCATTAAGGATGAACCTGTTCAACTGACTGAACCAACAAAAAATCGAACCTAGATCAGGATCCTGGTCTAGCAAGGGTGAGGTCTAATGAATTTTAGATCATTAAGAAGAATAATCTATCTTCCCCCACTTAATTTTGTCACCAGAACAGCCAAACAAAGTCTGGAGAACACTCTTGTCTTATTGGAATGGATTCCCATCCCCATCCCAGCTAGGACAAGACACAGGGTAGAAACTCAGGGCTGCAGCTCTATCCAAAAAGGCTTCCCCCACCATTACCCTGGAGCACCCACAGTGACTGTCATAGACTAACATTACACGATTGAAGGCACATTCCAGTTACTGTTTGATGTAGATAAGGGAAGCATCTCTGTGTGGAAGCCATAAAGAAAAAAGGGAATGAAGATCAAGTCCCATGCCCCACACCCTCCCCAAGCAGCTCAGATATCCCAAGATAGTCCTTATTGTTTGAAAAATAGTTTGTAGACCATTTTATTTAAATATATGAACAACCAATGGGCTACTGCAATCCAAGTAAACTCTTCACATTTTAGAACCTTTGTGAAGTATAGTAAGATAAAGTAAGACTGTTGGTCTTTGGCAGATTCCTCCTGCCCCCCAGACCGGGACACAGAGATACAGATAAATGTTTATATAGTTAAAGAGTGGAAGCCCAGGTGAAATTCCCCACCCCAACCTGGCTCCCCAACCCAAAAATTACCATTGGCCCCTGAGAACACCCAAAGACCACCCTCCCAGGTTTCACACAATATCAATTGCAGGAACAGTCGTGCATGGCAAAGTGTAAGTTCTATGCATTTCACAGCACAGAAAACCCTTCTTTCAGAGGGCATGCAAGTTGCTGGAGATTACACCCCCAAGTCTGGTGCTCTTGTGATGAGCAACTTACTGGCAAACACATCTCCCAGTGCTGTAAGCAGGCAAATACATTGAGCACATTTTGCTGTAATTCCATCTATTTGCAATGCCTGCACAGTGTCTGTCTCTGGCTGTTAACTTACTCATTCTTGACAGAACTCTGCTTTATTGATTGCACTTTTAAAAAAATGCCAAAGGCATTTTCAAACTTGTTAGCTTGACCGCCACCACTAGGGTATAAGAGCAAGTGTTCTCTATGCCTTACTTGCTACAGTCTCCTCCTTCTTTGGAGAGGATTCCCGTAATGGTAACGGTGATGGGGGAGGCTGGTGCCAACGACACAAATACATTTCTGTGGTGGAAAGGTACGGCAAATCTTCTATCTCACTTGAGAAGGCTTTCTCCTTGGGATGGCCGCTGGGTCCCTTCTGGAGAGTGGAGAGTCTTGGTGGGGTGTCCACTGAAGACCTGGCCTTTTCTGGAGTTTCTTGGCTCCTCAATTCACGTTTACAAACAGTTTCAGATAAGGAACCACAGGGCTCCTCTTTAATGGGAGAGTGCTTAGGTGTTTTTGTTTTGACTTTTGAAAATTCAGGAGCCAGCTTTTTAACAGGAGTCTTTCTTTCTGTACTTCCAAATGGGGATTTCCTAGTGAACAGGGAAGAAAACATTTTAAAATTCATCCCTCTTGAATAAAATCTGATTACATTTTGGGACAAGAGAATTAGCTTGTTATTTTGCCCCAAAATGACCAGTATTCAGGTACCTAAATATCTGGTGCTCATGTGGCAGACATGAGTGGGAACAGCAACAGCCTCACGCTTAACAGTATATATAACAGGCCCTTAGTAAACACTTGCTGAACAAATGAGTTTCCACATTTAATAGTGTCCTATTACCTACTAGATGTAAAAAGATTCCTATTCTATTTGATGTCATTTAACCAACACTACGTGCCACTACTCCGTGCCCCATTTCCTTCATTCCTATCAACCAGAGACTAGTCTCTTTATTTCTCCCAACCCTGTATCATATTAACTACGACCTCCATTTCTTTTCTTCTTGCTGTCTGCTCTCTTTCTCTCTCCTTCCCTTCCCCCACAAGACATCCCTGGAACGCCATATTCTTTCCTCTTTACCAATCTAAATTCTGTACTTCTTTTTCAAGATCCATCTCCTCTTTAAAGTTTTTTTCTCACTATTATAATTCAGAGTATTCTTTAATATCCCTGAATCCTACAAAACTTAGCTTATATCACTGTTGTTTATCTACATATTTTATTGTATCTAAGTTCTGTGTTTTCAAAATTTATGCCCCTCTTTACAACTAGACTAATCTCTGAGTCCAAGGCCACTTATCTTTTACTTTTTTACATCTGCTAGTGCCTAACATAATGAATGAATTTAACACTTCCTAACTTGAAGTGAACTGCTATAGTTTTCTTTAACAAAATCAGCTGTCACATTTGTTGCCCATTCTCTTTATGATAGATTCTACATTCTGTAATTACTACTGTGACCAAAATGTTCCTAACAAACTTTTACAGCCTAAGCAAGAATGCTTCAAGATATTTTCTCAGCATGGAAGACCCCTCATAATTCAGGATATGGTTGCTATAAAACTAACTCATAAATCCCAATCCACAACTCTCATTCACTGGTAACAAGCGTCCTCATCATGTCCAGACAGTGTAATGAAGTTATCAGCACACCTTTTGTGTCCCTTTCCACTACGCCCACATGAGAAAGGCTTGGGAGGCAGAGCCTGGGATGTCTCGGAAAGCTCCGGCTGGCACTCCAGTTTAATTTTCTCTGATAGCTCCGTTTCCTCTCTCTCTTCAGTTTCATAGCCCTGAAACAACTTGTGCCTTTCTTTCTCGTTATCCTTTTTTACCAGCTGCATCCGCCTTTCCATACGTTCAATCCGAGCAAGGAGCTAAAAGAGAGAGTGGCAAAATGTACACTTAACACACACACACACACACAAAAAGTAAATACAGGTACACAGGAATCAGTAGTCTTTCCCTGGACCCTATCAACTCAAATTTATTTTTAAGAAGCAAACATTGATCTTAATAATTTTTCTTAAACACAATAGAGAATACTAGGTACACTGATTAATTTTAGAGATTAAATTAGATGGAGAGGGGCATGGGGGAATTTGTAGTTCATTCTTAAGGAAGATCCTCTCTAACATGAGGGGCCACAGCATGTCTTCTAATGGCATGGTCTCTGGTACTGCTAACCATGTGGCTCCAAGTCAGCTTGGGAGTTTTTAGAATTAATCTTATGTCCTTTCAGGATGCCCTAAGGTTCTCCAAATCCTAGCCTCTCCACTCCAAAACTCAATACACAAGGGCAAGGTCCAAACAGTACACTGAGAAGGAATTAAAAGCTTGCAACAGTGCCACTAGGGATTGCAGTATTTATTTGAAAGGGGTGGGAGGGAGGTTCCTAAAACAATGAATGCTCCACTTGAAAGAATTAGAATAGAAACCAGTACTCATAAATCCCGAAGATCATGAAACATGCATATTGCTTTGCATTTGAGGTAACAGAAAAATTGTACCTATTTATCCAAATATTAAGACCAAAGTTCTGTACTTCAGTTTAAGGGAGGACTACATAATCAAACAGAAATTAGAGATCTATTATTTTCAAAACTTCCTATTAAAATGCTTTGAGAAAAGGTGTCAACTGTGCTACTTATACCCTGTAACAAGAATTTTATCTGAGTTATACAGTAATATTAATGATGCCTTCATTGTATCCATTTAGCTACATATATTTTAGTCAAGGCGAAACAACAAATGGAATAAGAGAAACAAGCTTGAGCAATGCTAAGACTGCAGTACACAACAGAAGCACTGAATGCCAAGTTCAGACTGACACTCTATCCTTAACTCACCCCACTTTTCCTGCCTAGGAAAGCCTGCAAAGGGGCCATTACCTCAGGAACTCAGCAAAAACCTCCACAATCAGCAGAGTCCCCTCTATCAGCCATAACTCTCATTTCATCTCCTTATATTGGTTTTGATTCACAGCCTTCACATTACTTAACCATGGTTTGTGGGTGACATTTCCTAGATTTCTTCCCCTTCACCGGTCTTTCTCTTCCAGCCAAACCCCACCCCCCACCCCACCCATGCAAGGATATGATGTGTTGTAATTACAGTACCATCACACCCCCAGACTGCAGTACAGTAGCTGAGCAGTGCCACCTCCATGTTGAGTAACTTCCACAAATCAACACCATGAGATGTTTTAATGAGACCTGCCCCAGCTCCCATTCCACCTTGCAGACTGCATTCTTCAGTAAAACAGCCGCTGCCTGATGCGACTCATTTGGAAAGAAAATGAATAGCCCTCTGCTCCCTTGCTCAGCCCTTGGCGCACACGACGCCAGAGAGAGAAAAAGGGAGGGAGAGAGAGAGAGGAAGAGAGAGAGAGAGACTGACTGCTGCAGCTTGAACACAACAATTGTAGAAACCATGTTTATTTTTAGGCAGCTATAAGGTATGCGGGGGTGTTACCAAGCTAGCACAGTAATACCCCACCACCCCAGCTTTCCTACTATCTGAAAGAATATGTTTTAATGTGGAGGTGTCTTTAACTACTGCTGCAGGAAAAACAAGCCTATATAGTCATGCTTCTCAGAAGTACAAAGAAATAATAAATGACTTCCCTAAGACCTTAAGATTCTAAAACAGGAAAAAAAATTTTTGGTCTGTTTAATACATTTAGTAAGTTTACTTTCCCCTGATGCCTTACAATCTTCTAGCATCAAACACCAAGCTAGCACTCATGCTTATACAAGGAACGTGATTAGTGTGGTCATGTTTTTATAACTCAGATTCCCATTAAGAACTGTCTGAAATCAAACGCAGTGATTCTCTAATATCACTTAAGACGACTGAAATAGGATTCCACTGTAAACCACCACTACTCTTCTGCCCATTAAAAGGCCTACTCCCCTCCTATCTGAAGATGCTGCAGCAGTGTTTAGAGCAACAGCTGCTATGTCCCTGTCCTCCACAACGCATTTCTAACTGGACAGCTCTTCAATTTAACCCCTTACATAAAGCCACCACATAGGCACCCCACCCTTTCATATTTAACCCTTCACAAATCAGGTCTTTTCCCACTCTAACCATCTTTCCCACAAGTCTGGGGCTGTCATTTTAAATTAACCCTTTGGCACCTGAAACCTCTCTTCCCCTCCACTAGAAGGTTGCCCTTTAACCCTTCCCTCCAACTCAGCGTGTCTAGAGCTTGGCTTCCAAGGACCAAGGGCCCAGCACCTAAGATCCTCCTTTGCTGGTAGCCAACCTCCTTTACCTCTAACCAAGGGGTACCTTAACCTCTTACTGGCCCCCCTTCCCCGAGCATGCGCATAACTCGCTCCTCGTCCCGAACGCAGGTTAACCCCTCCCGTACCGTGTCTCTCTCAGACTTCAGCTCCTCGATCTCCTTTTCCTTGGCTTGCAGCTGCTGCTGCTGCTGTTCGATGAGGTCCAATTGCAGCAGAAGGATCTGTTTGAGGCAGGCGGCCTGACTGGAGGCTCCCGAGCCGCCGCCACCACCGAGAGGGCTCTTCCTCATACTCTTCCATCTGCCCTCGCTTGCCGCCAGGGTCCCGGCGGTGGCGGTGGGCGCGAGGGGTGGTGGCCCGGGCAGAGGTAGTGGTGGGGGTCCTGCCGGGTCCGAGGCGGTGGCAGCTGGGGGAGTCGCCCCACCCTTGTCCCCAGCCCAGGGCGTAGGCTCTTTGGCCGCCGCCACGAGAGAGCCTGTCTGAATGGGCAGCACCGCCTGATACTTGGGCCGGGGGCTGCAGCCAGCTCCGGCGGCCGCTGGCTCCCCCCCAATGCCGGCTTGTTTGGTGGCCGGGGGCGGACAGGGCAAGGGCACCGAGCCGCCCCAGCTCTCTTCCTGCTGCCCGGGGGCCGCCCCAGCCGGCAGTAACAAGCCCCGGCCCTTGCCGCCGCAGCCGGCCGGGGAGGGCGCGGGGCTCCCGCCCTGGGAGGAGGCCAGCGGGGGCCCCGGCTCCTTGAGCTTACGGTGCCGGGGGAGGAAGTGGGCTTCGGCCGCCCCGGGATCGTCCTCCGGCCCGCCCAGCGCCGCAGCCCGCTCGTAGTCCAGTCGCTGCTCAGGGTTGCCGCCGGCAGGGGCCGCGGCCGCCTTGAACACTGCGGATCTCATGGTCATAGTGGTCCGGAGCGGCGCCGGGGACGGAGACGGAGGAGGGGGTGGGGAAGGGGCGAGGTGCGGGGGGTCGAGGACCGAGGAGGGGGAGGGGAGTTTGGCGGGCTCGCCTCAGCAGCGCTGCAGCAGGCCTTGGCTAGCGCGGCTCCTCCGGGGCCCGGGCGCCATCCCGCCGGCGTGCGGAGAAGTGGAGGCCGCGGCTGAGGCCCGCCGCCGGCCCATG